GTGGAGCCTCCGTGCTCCCCGGGCTCCCCGTGCTCCCCGGGGCCTGCGCGAGGTAACCGCGGCGCCGCCCTGTCCCCAGCCCCGGGCCGTCGCCCCCCCGGGAGCGCCCCTGCTTCCCGCCCTCTCGCCCTCGCTCTGTTGTTTCACTTGTTTTCACGCGTCGCTTTGCTCCGTGGAGGCTTTTTCGCAGGTACGACGTGGTCCCGCTTGTTTGTTGCTTTTGGTTCATATCCAAAAAAAAACCGAAAAACCCATCGCGCAGACTCAGGTCAGGCTGGGGCGCGGTTCGCGCGCTCGCGGGGTCAGGTCTTCAGTTCGCTTCGAGCTGACTTTTTGGGGTGCGGCGTGACCTGCGGGCCAGTTCCGTTGTTTCGGGCACGTGGGTGTCCGGTTTCCCAGGACTGGCTGCTGGGGAGACTTGGCCCTGCCTTGCGCCCGGGGATCCCCGGGGGAGGAGAGCGGACCGCGTGTCCAGGCGCCTGGGCCGGCCGGCCGTCCATCCGTCCGTCCGTCCGTCCGTCCGTGCGTCCGCTCCGGGGCCAGCACTGCGCTGTCCTCATAACTGTAACCTTGTGCTGTAGTTTCAGGTAGGCACGTGCAAAGCCTCCAGCTTTACTGTGCTTCCTCGATATTTCTTTAACTTTTGGGGGCCTTTTTTTTTTTTTTTTGGTTAGGATATTTTGGATTTGGGTTTGTTTTTTTCTATTTCTGGGAAAAACGGCAGTGCCATTTTGATAGAGGTTACATTGGAGCTGGAGATCTGCTTGGGTCATTTGAATGTTTTATCAACATTAATTCTTTCATTCTTTTCATTCTTTCAACTCCTCAACTTAAGACACATTTCCTTTCTTTTTTTTTTTCAATCCTTACCCGAGGATATTTTTTCCTTTTTTTTTTCTTTGTTAAATATATCTTTATTGATTGCAGAGAGAGAGAGAGAGAGAGAAACATCAATGAGAGAGCCATCAATCGAGCCCACAACCCGGGCATGTACCCTGACCGGGAATCGAACCCAGATCGCCCAGATCCTAGGTGGAAGGCTCAACCGCCGAGCCACACCCAGCCGGGCAGGATATTTTTTCCATTGCTCTTCAGAGAGAGTGGAAGGGAGGGAGAGACGGAAACATCCATGTGAGAGAGACACATCTACTGGTTGCCACCCACACTTGCCTCTGAGTGGCTTGAGGATGGAACCTGCAACCCAGGTACATGCCCTTGACCAAAATCAAACCCAGGACCCTTCAGTCCACCAGCCGATGCTCTAACCACTGAGCCAAACCAGCCGGGGCGAGACATATTTTCATATAATGGTTTCATCTTCGATTTCTGTCATAAACATTTTACAGTTTTCAGTGTACAGACCTTTTACTTCCTTGGTTAGGTTTATCGCTCTGTATTTTACTCTTTTTGGTGCCGTTATACATGAGATTATTTAACTTTTTTATGGAGAGCTCATTGTATAGGGGAACAGCTGATTTTCCTATGTTGCTTTGGTATCCTTCACCTTGACTGAATTCCTTTATTAGTCCTAACAGGTGTGTGTTTTGTGTGGTTTTTCGGTGGAGTCCTTGGTAGTTTTTACCTGTAGATCACGTTATCTGCAAACAGAGACTTTTACAATTCTTCCTTTGTAATTTGGATGCCTTTATTGCTGCTGCTTGGTCTAGAACCTATCGTTGTAATGACAGGGATGAGAGGATGGCTTCTCTTCATCGCTCATGACAAATGCTATGTGTGTGTGAGGTGAAAATTGTGTGATTATAGGTTGCCATGAATTACTAGTGCTCAGCCTAATACTGGTTTCTTTCTTTATGCTATGATTTATTTATTTATTTTATTTACTCATTCACTCATTCATTCATTCATTTATTCATTTATTTTTGGAGTAATCATGACCTCATAAATAAGCATGGTGCATTAGCTTGTGTTCCAAGAGGGAGGTAATAGGTCGTCTAGAAGTCATCTTCCTCGTCTTCCTCCAGGTCATGTTGTCCCCCAAGGGTCTTCGTTGGCCTATTGCTTCCTGGGCTCTGTGTGTCAGGCTTCTTTCCGAGTTGGAAGTATGCGGATGTCAAGGCCACCTTGCTCTCCTCACTCCCAGGAAACATCTCTGGTGAGCATGGGAACGTGCCATTGTACCGATACCTGCGAGGCGCCTTCGTTGGGTCAATGATGAGAACTCAAATAGTCTTGAAGTGAGATGATGACTTAAAAATCATGCTCAATAGGATTACGCTGAGGCCCAGTGTAGGTGACAATTTGGTGGCACCATGTTGGGGAGCCCTCTCCTCCCCTAGAGCAGTGGGAATGGGTTCTTGAGGCAAGCAATTGCTTGAGAGAGTCCCATGTGTGTCTCCCCGATCACCTGTCCCTGAACACAGCCTGCTCGTGTTCTTAGGTGTTTCTGGTGCCTCCTAGTTCCTCTGAGAAAAGGCCCCTTTGGAGGCCAGTTTTTCAAACGTCTCTTCTCTCGTTTTCTTGCAGTGGAACCATTTGGCAAGATGGTGGTCGTTGCCTTCATGTTGAAGGTGAGTGGATGTCTTTTGTTTTGTATAGCGACCAGATAGTACTTCAGTCTAAGCAGCATTCTTGGTCGTAGTAAAAATGTTTGTGTGTTGTCTGTAAGTCTGTCTTGATAGTGGATACATTCTTTTGCACTTTCAGTTTTTGGGATGGGTACCTAGGATAGTCTTAATAATTATTTATAAAATTAGTCCAAATATAAGGGGGTCATTTAATTTTCAAGGGAATTCTAGGCCACTGTAGTGTCAGATTTTATTGAGCTTGAGGCCAATAACTCCTATATTTCTAATAGATGACAGTTTTCATTTGACTTCGATCTTTCAGGACTCTTGATGTCAGGCTTCTCTAGGAATTGGAGCTATGCAAATCTTAAGGCCACCTTGCTCTCCTCGGTTGCAGGAAACATCTCTGGTGAGCATATGAATGTGAATTTGTATTGATGCTTGCGAAGTGCCTTCGTTGGGTCAATGATGAGAACTCATAGTCTCGAAGAGAGATGATGACTTAAACATAACTTTCAGTGTGAGTGTGCTGAGGCCCAGTGTGGGTAACAAATTGTGGCACCATGTTGGGGAATCTTCTTTTCCTTCAGAGCAATGGAATTGAGTTGTTGAGGGAAACAATTGCTTGAGAGAATCCCATGTTCTTCTCTCCATTCAATTCCATGTTCATACATGTTTCTGGTGCCTCCTAGTTGCTCTGAGAAGGCCATACTAGAGGCAATTATTTTAACTTCCCTTCTCTTGTTGTGTTTTGCAGTGTCAATCTGGCAAGGTGGTGCTCGTTGCCTGCATGTTTTAGGTGAGTGGATGTCTTCTGTCTTGTATAGAGACCAGATAGTACCCAAGACTAAGCAGGAGCGTTGCTTTCAGGCAATCAAGGCATTTGTGTGCTCTCTGAAACCTCAGTATCCACAGAGGCTACAATATTTGTGACAGTCAGTCCATGGGCATGGGAGCAATCAAAAGCCAACAGTTTCCCTCCTATCTGAAATGAATTAGACTATTAGGGTCTAAGTTCTTATTCAGTGGGATTCCGAGCAACTGTCACATGAGTTTGTGCCGAGCTTGCGGCTATCACTCTCCTATCCTTAATGGATGCTAAATATTGGAATTTCACAAGATCTTTGTTAAAAACGTTTATTTCATGGTGTCCATAGATAGAACTGGCTCAGTGATCCCTTCCCATGGGTGTTGGTTGCCAAAAAGTGTTGACCTTTTGATAACTGAATGTGATCTCTTACAAAACGACAAGGTTTCACCCTATAGATTGACATGGTTGTTGCCTTTTTTATACCCAGTTTTTTATTGGTTCATTGACCTCTTTTGCTCCGCCATATTCAGGCCACTTGTTTAACATTGATAGTGTTTCCTCTGTGGTTATGGTTCCCCTAACCTATCCACACAGATGCACCTTTGCACCAGCAGTGATAGGCACAGTGTTGAGAATATTTCTACATCATGGTTGCATCTTCACTGTGAACTCAGTTTGCTCATAGTGAGATGTCCAGTTGTAGCTACTGTGGAGGGGACACTTGCATTGCTTCTTGAGGGATGTAGTCAGATAGGTAAGTAAGGGAACTCTGACCTGAAAGTATATGGCTGGTGTTAGGCCCCAGCTTGACGTTTCTCATTGTGGGTAGGTATTGCCTGAAATACAGCATGTGATTGAAATGGAATGTGTCCAAATGTCCCTGTGCCACAGAGGAAATCATGTATGACTTCATGGTGTCATTCTCTTTCTTAGCTCAAGCAGTAGGCTTCAGCCAGTGTTCCGTTTAAAACCTATTTTTTTAATGGCAAAGATTACAAGTGTGGTTTCTCTTTACCATTCTTGAGAAAAGAATATGTGTGTGTGTAGTAATAATTTGATGCCTACTTAATTTTTGTGACTTGAATCAATAGCACAAAGCCTTTCATTTTTTTAATTGTTTGTTATGCATTTATTCACTTTTTATATCACAATGATCTGGTGATCATTTTGGAATGATTGTTAGCATATAAAGGAGCAACATGCATGCGGTTCAGGTCCAAGAGTGATGAAATAGGTCATTTAGAACTTTTGCTCTTTTTTCTCCAGGACATATTTACAAAAAAGATTTTCATTGGGCCTGAACTTCCTGTGCTGTCAGTGTCACGCTTCTTTCCGAGTTGGAACTATGCAGATCTGAAGCCCACCATGCTCTCCTCAGTTCCAGGAAACATCTCTGGTGAGCATATGAATGTGCAGTTGTACCGATGCCTGCGAGTTGCCTTCGTTGGGTCAATGATGAGAACTCATAGTCTCGAAGAGAGATGATGACTTAAAAATAATCCTCAGAATCAGTGAGCTGAGGCCCAGTGTAGGTGACAGATTTGTGGCACCATGTTGGGGAGTCCTCTCCTCCTCCAGAGCAGTGGGAATGGGTTCTTGAGGCAAGCAATTGCTTGAGAGAATCCCATGTGCTTCTCCCCAATCACCTGCCCGTGAACACATCCTGCTCGTGTTTGTAGGTGTTTTCGGTGCCACATGGTTCCTCCCAGAATCCCATACTCAAGGCCAATTTTTAAAACTTCTGTTTTCTCATTGTGTCTTGCAGTGGGACCATCTGGCAAGGTGGTGGTCATTGCCTTCGTGTTTAAGGTGAGTGGATGTCTTGTCTTGGATAGAGACCACATAGAATGTGAAACTGAGCAGCGGGCTTGGTTTTATGTAGTAAAGATGTTTGTGTGCTGTTTTAAAACTCTGTATTGATACCAGCAAAAGTTTTTGAGTGCCAGTTTTTGGCATGGGCACTTACAAAAATCCAATAATTTCCTTTCTATCTGAAATTAGTCAGAATATACAGTGGCTAATTTATTTTTCAACTGGATTCTGAACAACAGTTATATCAAATTGTGTAGTACTTGAAACCAATAACTTACATTTTTAACAGGTGAAAATCATGGCCATTTTCAAATTTCACATGATCTTTCTGTCAAAAAGATCCAAGCCCATGTCGTCCACAAATTGAATAGCAGCGATGATTTTTTTCCATTGTCCTTTGTTGCCAAACAATGTTGAGCTTGGGATAACTGAATATCATCTTTTACACAACCATAGGGTTTCCCCATGTCCATTGACAGTACTGTGGGGTTTTGAAAATCCTGTATTTTTTTTGTTGGTTCTTTGGCCTCTTTTGCTTGGCCAAAATGAGGCCACTGGTGCACCATTGATAGTGTTTCTTCTCCTGTTTCCATTGCCCTAACTTAGATGTCAGATCAAAATCCACTTTTGAAACAATGGTGGTAGGCAGGATTTTGACAGTATTTCAGATCATTGTTGAATCTTCTGATTGACTTCCAGTTGTGGAAAAATGAGGGGTCTTGTTTTATTTCCCAGTGAGGATACTTGCCTTTTTTGTTTGTTGATGTGACCGTATAGGAAAGTGACTCTGAACAGAAAGTATGTGGCTGGCGTTTGGGCCCGGGATGAAAGTTGTCATGGTGGGTAGGAATTGCCTGGAATTACTACAAGTGAGCAAAATTGAGATAGCCCAAGTATCTCTGTGCCACGGAGTAAATCACGTGTGATTTCATGGTGTCATTCTCTTTTTTAGCATAAGCAGGAGGCCTTGCACATGTTCCGTACAGAACTTATTGTTTAAATGCCACGTTGAACAGTATGGCTTCTCTTCACTTTTCATGACAAATGCTGTGATAGTATGTGGTATAAATCAAATGACGTTATTTTTGTGTGTCTGAATCAATAGTGGAAAGCAAAGCATTTTATTGGATCATTTCTTTATTATTTATTTATTTATTTACTCAGTTTTAGAATGATCATTACCACTTAAATTAGCACTATGCATTAGCTTCTGTTCCAAAAATGATATAGTAGGTTGTCTAGAAGCTGTCTTCCTTGTCTTTCTCCAGGTCACGTTGTCCCACAAAGGTCATCGTTGGGCCTGTTGCTTCCTGTGCTCTGTGTGTCAGGCTTCTTCCCAAGTTGGAACTATGCACATCTCAAGGCCTCCTTGCTCTCCTCACTTCCAGGAAACATCTCTGGTGAGCATATGACTCTGCCATTGTACCAATGTCTGTGAAGTGCCTTCGTTGGGTCAATGATGAGAACTCATAGTCTCGAAGAGAGATGATGACTTAAAAATAAGTTTCAGTGTGAGTGTGCTGAGGCCCAGTGTGGGTGACAATTTGTGACCCACAATGTTGGGAACTTTATTTCCCTTCAAGCACTGGTGTTGGGTTCTCGAGGCGAGCAATTTCTTGAGAGAATCCCATGTGCCTCTCCCCGATCACCTGCCCCTGAACACGACCTGCTCGTGTTCTTAGGTGTTTCTGGTGCCTCCTAGTTCCTCCAAGAAGGCCCCAGTGGAGGCCAATTTTTCAAACTTCTTGTCTCTTTTTGTGTCTTACAGTGTGACCATCTGGCCAGGTGGTGGTCGTTGCCTTCCTGTTTAAGGTGAGTGGATGTCTTTTGTCTTACACCAGAGTGCCTGGGAGACCAAGCAGGAGGCTTGCTTTCAGGCACTTGGGACATTTGTGTGCTCTCTGAAATCTCAGTGTCCACGCAGGCTATGGGCCAATCAAAAGCCAAAGATTTCCATCCTATCTGAAATGAACCAGACTGATAGGGGATGAAGATTTATTTCAGTGGGATCCCAAGAAACTGTCACATGTGTGCAGAGCCTAAGGACAGTCGCTTTCCGATCCTTAATGGATGCTAAATGTGGTGGTCAGTGTTGGAATTTCTCTAGGTCCTCCTGTGAAGGAGGACCATGCCCGTGAGGTCGGGAGATAGAACAGCGCCAGTGACGTCTCCCATGGGCATTCTTTGCCAAAAGGGGTTGAGCTTGGGGTGAATAAATGTGATGTCTTACAAGAGGATGAGTTGACAACATGTCCACTGACCAAAGTGGGGGCTTTTCCGAATCATGTATCTTTCTGTTGGTTCTTGGACATCTTTGGCTTGACCAGACCCAGGCCACGGGGGCGCCATTGATTGTGTTTCCTCTCCTGATCCCTGTGTCCTAAACTGAGGGTTCCGGATATGGAAATGCACTTTTGGACCAATGTCTATAGTCAGGATATTGAGGAGATTTCAAAGTCATTGTTGGATCCTCACTTTGAAGTCAGTTTGCACCAAAATGAAGCATCCTGCTGCTGTATATGGCGGCCAGGAAACACGTGCATTGCTTCTTGAGGGATGTGCTCAGATAGGTAAGGGAACTCTGACCTCAGAGTGTGTTGCTGGTGTTTGGGCCCGGCTTGCAAGTTTCCACGGTGGGTGGGCATTGCCTGGACTACAGCAGGTGAGCAGAGTTGAAGGTGTGCAGATACCCATTTGCTGTGGAATAAATCGCGTGTGACTTCATGGTGCCCTTCTCTGCTTCATGATGAGTAGTAAGGTCCCCCAGACTTTCTTCCAACGTGTTGTTTCAACCCCAGGAATGAGCATTGTGGCCTCTCTGCACCTTTCATCACCAATGCTATGGGTGTAGTAATAATTCTGTGGCAGATTATTTTTGAGTGTCTTGAGTTGGTATTTGAAAGGAAATCTTTCCATTGGTTTATTTCTTTATTCCTTTATTTACTCCATTCATTCATTCATTCATTCTTAGAATGATCTTTACCACATAAATGAGCACCCTGCTTTTAGCTTCAGTTCCAAGGTTGAAAAAATAGGTCATTTAGAAACCGTCTTCCTTCTCTTCCTGCAGGTCATAGTACCGGAAATGGTTTTCTTTTGACCTAGAGCCTCCTGGGCTGTGTGTGTCAGGCTTCTTTCCGAGTTGGAAGTATGCGGATGTCAAGGCCACCTTGCTCTCTTCACTTCCAGGAAACATCTCTGGTGAGCATGGGAGCCATTGTACCGATACCTGCGAGGCGCCTTTGTTGGGTCAATGATGAGAACTCATAGTCTCGAAGAGAGATGATGACTTAAAAATAAGTTTCAGTGTGAGTGTGCTGAGGCCCAATGTAGGTGACAACTTGGTGGCACATGTTGGGGAGCCCTCTCCTCCTCCAGAGCAGTGGGAATGGGTTCTTGAGGCAAGCAATTGCTTGAGAGAATCCCCTGTGCCTCTCCTCGATCACCTGTCCCTGAACACGACCTGCTCGTGTTCTTAGGTGTTTCTGGTGCCTCCTAGTTCCTCCTAGAAGTCCCCAGTGGAGGCCAGTTTTTCAAACTTCTCTTCTCTTTTTGTGTCTTACAGTGTGACCATTGGGCAGGGTGGTGGTCGTTGCCTTCGTGTTTAAGGTGAGTGGATGTCTTTTCATGTAGCATTTTCCTGATTTCATTGAGTTGACTTTCTTTGTGCTCTTGAAACGCGCTGAGATGTTTTAAAACAAAGGTACTGACTTCCCTGTCAGGTCATCCATAAAGCTCCATTTTGGAGGTTGGTTACTGACGCTTTATCTGTTTCTGGTGGTTTTGCTGGCTTACCTGACACTTAGTGATCTTTGTAGACTTGCACCGATGTCCACATGTTTTTGTTTGTTTTTAAATACTCACCCAAGGATATTTTTCCCAGACAGTGAAAGAGAGAGAGAAACATTGACGTGAGAGAGACACATTGATTGGTTGCCTCCCGCACTTGCCGCGACAGGGGCCGTGGATTGAGCCTGCAACCCAGGTACATGCCCTCCGCCAGAATCAAACCCAGGACCCTTCAGTCCACGGGCCAGTGCTCTAACCACTGCGCCAAACCAGCCAGGGCTGATGTCTGTGCTTTTGAAGGAAAAAATACCTAATTTTTTCCTTTGCAGAGTGGTTTCAGCAGGTAAAGATTTTTTCCTTCCAGGTCCCCAGGTGCATAGGGCTGCCTCTGGAATTACAGGTGAGCAAGGCTGGAGCCGGGTCACATGGTTGCTCCCAAGCTTACAGCTGGGTCTATGGTTCGCAGATCTGTTATGAGGGTGCAGGCAGGCATAGTTCCCACTGCCTCACCAGGCGCATGTGACTGCCTCTGGGACCATCGCCAGACAGGGCTGGGTCAAGTCTCTATCCACACCAAAGCCCATGATGGGCTTGCTACCAGGGGCTTAGAGGGCATGTTTCTTCCAGATGCCCTGGTGGGCGGGACTGTCCCTAGACTATTGCAGAGTCGGGCCGGAACTGAATCTCAGGGCCACTTCAGGATCCATGGTCAAGACGAAGTTAGTGGGCTATTTGAAAAGCAAAGGATTCAGAGAGAAAACAAGTTAGTAAATGAAATGACAAACATGATGGCTGCAGTGTTGGTGGTGAGGGCTGAATGGATGGTTCATTAAAACAGAACTGAGGCTGTGCTTGGATTTTAGTTAACTGAGTGCATCTTCTGATCTGATCTGTTTTGTTTGTGATGCTTTGCTGCAGGTCACCTTCAAAGTGGCTGGTCCTGCAAGTGAGCAAGTTACCTTCAGGGAGCCAAGGTAGCTAACATGGTGCTTTTGAATTTTATGTCATGTTTTATGACCAGTGATGTCAGTATTTCAGATTCTGCAAGTGCACTTTTTCAGAGGCTCGAGCATCAATATTTTTATGATAGCTGTTTCTTTGTGTGAGTGTCCCCATATGGTCCAAGGAATCCTCACTATTGCTTCATCCCCTTTTATATATATATAGGTTTTTATTGATTTTTAGAGAGAGAGGAAGGGAGAGGGAGAGAGAATCATCGATCGGTTGCCTCCTGCACACGCCCTACCCGGGGAACGAGCCCACAACCCCGGCATGTGCTCTGACCGGGGATTGAACCTTGCCATCTCGTTGCATGTGACAACACTCAACCACTGAGCAATACCGGCCAGGGCTCTTCCCCTTTTTTTAAGTCACCTGAATCATGTTGGGGAATCTTTCCCATGTTTTTTTACCGTTTGGTATTGGATGAAAGTAATCTTGTAGTGAAACCCAAGTGTGCAAAGCACTGATCTTTACCTTTATCTGGAACATCGGGAGCATAGATGCTTCTTGTATTTGTAGTATAATCATACTATAGATTATTTTGCTACCTCATTTAATCTTAAAAATCGTGGTTGATTTAAAAATCTCTTTAATCATCTAGAGGGCTCTTGTCTAGATCAATGATGAGCACAATAGTCTGAGGATGCTGAGGGACTCCTAACAGATGGCAATCTGAGGTCCAGACGAGTGGCCCTGTAAGAGGACAAATGAGACTGTCGGAGCCTGGCCCTGTCTGGGGACCCCTCCGCCACAGCATGTGCAGCGCTGAGCAGCCAGCCTGTCCCTTCTCTCAGAACTGAGCCTAGTGTCCTACTCCAGACTTGCCTCATTTTGCTCACTTTGAACAGAGTCGAAGATTGATACTTGTATGTAGAAAGTATGTACTTCAGTAATGAATGTGCACATTAAAAATATTGAATTGGGAAGGGGACGAGCCACTGGGCTGGATCATTCACGTTGGACTGAAACCGAGGGACTCCTGCATTGCCCGTTACGTACCAGCAATGGCACCAGCTGTAGTTTTTTGTGTTTGCCACTGGAGATTTTCTAAGACCCTGTCTTCGCTTTCCTTTTTGTCATTTTTGCTGAGACAGAGCGCTGAAATGAGGTCTGTCACTTCAGAGAAAAGGGGTGAGTACCCGACCAAGACCTTTGAAATTTATGTGGCGTCTGTTCTGCGGCATGTCCTGGGGTCTCTTCCCTTAACCTTTAGAGCCTTATTGAAAATCTTTTCGTGACGTCCCCTCTTCCTCATTAAGACCCTCACCAAGCTCTCCTGCGTCGTCGAATGTTTATAATTCCTTCTTCCATTTCAACTCCTTTTTGCTTTGATGGAAAGAAAAATGGAGAAATTGAGAGAATTTTTAGCAGTTTCATACTGGATCGAAAGTTACCGTAGTGAAAACCAAATGTGCCAAAATATCAGATTCGTCGTCTGTTTCATTATTGAGATTTCTGAACAGAGGCTTCATGACTCACAAGGTTTTTGTGGTCACACTACCTTCTATTTCCATTTCTCCTTTCCTCTTTGAAGATTAACATGGAGTAATTGTTTCTTTTTCCAGCATGGGACGTTGTATGTAAAATTTTGTTGACCTTAGACCGTGTAGTTTTCACATGATAAAAGTTGCATGTTTGAAATCCTTGTTTGTTCACTTGTTACTTCCAGTTTTATATCTCACATGAGTGACATTGTATGACTCTTGCCTTTCCATCCGACTTATTTCACTTAGCGTGATATTCTCAAGGTCCATCCATGTTTCACAAATGGCAGTTTTCCATCCTTTCTCATGGCTGAATAGTGTCCACTGTGTACATGTCCCACATCTTCTTTGTCTAGTCCTCTATTGAAGGGCCCTTTGGTTATTTCCATGTCTTGGCCACTGTGAATAATGCTGGATAATGCTGTAATGAACGTAGGGTTGCGTATGTCTTTGTGAGTAAATGTTTTCAGATTTTTTGGTAGGTACCCAGAAGAGAGGTTGCTGAGGCATATGGTAAGTCTGTTCATATATATATATATATATATATATATATATATATATATATGTATGTGTGTGTGTGTGTGTGTATATATATATATCTTTATTGATTTCAGGGAGAGGGGGAGGGAGAGATAGAAACATCAATGATGAGAGAGGGTCATTGATCGGCTGCCTCCTGCGCGCCCCCTGCTGCGGATCGAGCCCGAAACCCGGGCATGTGCCCTGACCGGGAATCGAACTGCAATCTCCTGGATCCTAGGCTAATGTGCGACCACTGAACCACGCCCAGCAGGGCTATTCTTAATTTTTTGAAGAGCCTCCATATGATTATCTGTAGTGGCTGGACCAGTTTATATTCCCACCGGCAGTGACTGAGGGTTCCCTTTCCCCACAGCCTCTCCAACGCTTGTTATTACCTGTCTTATTGGTAACAGCCACTGTAACAGGTGTGAGGTGGTATCTCATTGTACTTTGGATTTGCATTTCCCTAATAGCAGTGACGTTGAGCCTATTTTCATGTATCTGTTGACTATTTCTATGTCTGCTTGGGAGAAGTGTCTGTTCAGGCTCTCTGCCCATTTTTTGATTGGATTGTTTGTTTATTTGGTGTTGAGTTGCATGAGTTCTTTGTATATTTTGAATATTAACCGCTTGTCGGGACTGTTGTTTGCAATATCTTCTCCCATTGGGTTGGTTGCCTTCTTGTTTTATTGTAATTTCTTTTGCTGTGAAAACCTCATAGACACAGACATGAGGTATGGTGGTTACCAGAGGGAAGAGGCGTTGGGGTACAGGGGGTCAAATACGTGGTGACGGGAGACGATTTGACTTTGGGTGGTAAAACACACAATGGGATATACAGATGTAGAATCATAGAATTGTACACTTGAAACATATATAATTTTATTAACCAGTGTCACCCCAATAAATTTAATAAAAACACACAATAAGGATTGATAACCTCAACTGTTGGCAAAGATGTGGTGCAGTCAGAACTCTCATAGAATGTTGAAAGGTTGTAACATGGGCCAACTGCTTTGAGGAAAAAAAGTTGCAATATTTCTTTTGAAACACAAAATAGTTCAAATGTCAGTACTGTTTGGGGTTAAAAAAAAAAAGGCTATGTTAGCGGTAGCAGTTGGAGAGATGTGGAAATATCATAATGTTATTTGTTACTGGAACTTGAAATATGCACACCTAAGAGCTGTGTTGAAGGCTGGGTGTTGCCTGGAACCTAATGATTAATGCCCTAAGGACGAGTGAGCTCTTTTACTTGGCCAGCTTGTGTCCTGGAATTTATCAAATACATAGTGTTCACTTATTTCCGTTTATTCTCTTAGAACCTTGGAAGATAATTCTAGAGCACTGAGTAACAACTTTAAAGAATATCGTAGATCAAAGAGAAAATTAACTCTGCCAGATACTGACATAAGCTCTAGTACTCGAATCATGAACAAATCTTTGAGCAGGCTTAGGGATAGCAGGAACCGTGGGACGTGATTTTACTTAAAAAGTGTATTCTCACAAACCCCTATTTGTATGTTGGTTACCAGCTCGTAGACTCACAGATTCATGGAGGTGGGGTTACTGTCTCAAGTTATACAGCATAATGTATATTCAGTAAATGGCTCTATGCTTCCCCCACAATAGTATGGGACTCAGACATAGAGGTGGGGTGACAAGAACCTTCCATGCTGCTCCTGGTCAGATGAAAATGTTATTTGAAACAGCAAATTTATTGCTGTAAGTTGGTTAGAAATGTACTCTTGTTATGGTGGATGTCTCTTTTCTTTGTCTAGATTCTTGACAAATATACTGATTGGGGGCCTTTTACAGTTTTATTATGTTGTTTTTTACTCTAAATATCCCTGTAGGCACTTTTCAGCTGCATTAGCCTAAGTTGGCGTTTTGCGTCTTTTCTGTTGCTCATGCAAATACGTTTTCTCATGTCTGTGTTGATTTATTTTTGAGTTATGGATTGTTTCGAAGGGCATTGCTTAACTTCCAAGCACTTGGTTTGTCGGGTTTTATTACTGATTTCTAATAATTCCATATTATGAGAAAACATACTTCAAAATGATTTTATTACTTTGGGATAATTTTATATCTCTGTAATGGCCTAGGGTATGGTATAGTTTAGCAAGTGTTTCATTTGCTTATAATTCTATCAGGATATAATTTGATCATGGTGGATACAGTGTCCTATTTGTGGGAGTTAGTTCCACGTTGAAATTGCCCCACCCATCTCTGTTCACTAATCAGAGAGGGCAATGGGTATAATACCTTGAAAATATTGCCCTGACATCTCCGCTCAAGCCAGCATTAAATCAGGTCAAAGGGTGGGATCGGGGGGAGAAGAAATTAACAACTACATGAGTTCCCAGGGTCTGCTCTCTATCTCTCTCCTTGTAAAAATTAGCACCGAGACACTACTGTTGACTTTCAGACAGGTCCTGTCCTTGATCTGTGCACAAGATTTACCTTCTTTCCAAGTGATGGGCCCATTTGGGCTTCAGGCTTCTTATCTTTACGACTCTGATTTTGTTTCAGCGTGTCCTTCCCAGGGTCTATAGGAAAACCTCTCATCTATGAATAGAAAGGTGACTAAGTATTAAACAGCTGTGATTCTCTTCCCATTATGTGCCCTTCCCCTGTCAATAGGACAGAGTTTTCTTGGTGTCGATGGTTTTGTGCTCCAGTCATCAAAGTGGTGAATCTTGCCAATCACTTCCTGCAACATTGTTTATTCTGTTCTAACTTCTGTGTATTTCATCATCGCCATGTCCCAAACGGGGCCATCCCCATACAGAGATGTGTGTCTGCAGAAGTGTAGGAGCCTGCCTGACTGCCAGTTTCTGTGATGTGTTCTGTCTTCTTAATACAAATAACCTCTAGGCAGGTAACGCGGTTATAGACATGCTGATTGGTCAAGAACTGCTCTACCTAGACCAATGCTCTACCTAGCATAACCTCTGAGGACTGTGAGATTGTTGTCAGATATCAATCAGAGGTCCAGCCCCAGCTTGGTTCAGTGGGGTCCTGGCTCATGTGGCTCATTTGGTTGGGTGTCATCCCATGCACTGAAGGGAAATTGCAGGGCTGGGTGAAAAAGGTTAAGGGGTTAAGAAAAACACATACAAAAAACAACCCAACTCATAGACACAGACAACAGCATGATGATTACCAGAGAGAAAGGGGCGTGGGGCAGGTAGAAGAGGGTAAAGGGGGGATAAATGGGGATGGAAGGAGACTTGACTTTGGGTGGTGAATACACAGTACAGTGTAAAGATGATGTATCATAGAATTGTACACCTGAAACCTGTATAATTTTATTAGCCAGTGTCACCCCAATAAGTTCAATAAAAAAGAAAAAACTTTTAAATGTAGTAATGGTCTAATCATAAGTATGAATAAAATTATTCTTTCTCCCCTAAAAAAAAAAAATGGTATTTTGAACTGAATAAAGATGAAAACATAGCATATCAAAGCTTATGGGATGCTGGTAAAGATGTATCTAGAGGAAAATTTATAGCACTAAAATTGTCTATATTAGAAAGAAGAAAGATCTCAAACCAATGGCTTTACAGTTGACTCTTGAACAACACAGGTTTGAACTGCATGGATCTGCTTATATATAGGTTTTTTTCAATCAATGTTTTGTACAATTTTTTTGAAATTTGTGGCAGTCTGAAAAAAACTTTTAGATGAACTATATAGAAGTTTTGTTTTTAAAGTTAGGTATGTCATGAATGCATCCAGTATATGTACATACGAGTCAATTTTATTATTTAATACCGTAAAATATGCACAGATAGATGTATTATAAAAAGTTAAAATTCACGCACACAAACATCTACAGCCCATACATGGTGCCAGCCCCAGCTGAGAGAAACACACACGTAAAGAAGCAGCGTTAGTCTTAACGCATTCGATGACCTGTAGTACGCACTGTACTCATATAGTAATTGTGCAGCTCCCTTTGGAGGCCTTAGCATGATGCTGATCATCTGTGCATGAGCACTTTGTCTCTCTAGTACATTGCTTGTTGCAGTAAAAAGTGATCTCTGTGGTTCTCGTGTATTTTTCATTGTGTTCAGTGCAATTCCGTAAACCTTGAGTAACACCATGGGACCCACAGGAAGTGCCTGAGTGATGCTGGGAATGCGCCTGAGGGAAAAGTCACCTCGTGACGAGAGGAAGTTGAGTTGCTGGCTGTGTGCTGTAGATGGAGGTGTGGAGCGGTGGTTGTCTGCGTGGAGCGGTGGTTGTCCCACAGTTCAAGGTAAACGGATCCAGTGCCAGGACCATGGTAAAGGAAAGGAAAGGAAACACGGGAAGCGGTCACAGCGGCTGCGTGAGCAGGCACGAAGACCTTGCCCTATTTCAAACTACGTTTTTATCTTGTATTGGAAGTACGTTTATGTGGGTGCAGGATTGCAATAAAAAGAGGCATACCTATCAACTCTGCCATGAATCCAGAAAAAGCGAAGTCGTTAGCTGACAACTTAAAGCAAAAGGGAGAGGAAGGATCTAGAGCTGCAAGATTTCAGGCCCGCCAAGGACGATTGGGTAACTTCAGAAAGAGCTTTGCTTGAAAGATGTCAAAGGAAGCAGCTTCTGGTGGCTAAGAGGCAGCAGACAAGTTTGGGAAAACAGGAAGGAAATGACGGAGGAGAAAGGGTAACGGCCAGGACGGGTTTGAAATGCAGGTGCGAGTATTGAGAAGGGAGACTGCCCAGAAGGACTTTATCAGTGTGGAAGAGAAGTGAGCGCCAGGACGGATGGAAGAAGGGACAGGCTACCTCTACTGTTGTGTGCAGACTAAGCCGGGTTTACCATCAGGACTGCCCTGGCCTGTGAAGCTGCTCGCCCGAGTGCGGAAGGAGAGATGGACACCAGCTGCCAGTCTTTGGGTTGGACAAGAAGGAGACCTGGACGAGGAAACCCCTTTTCTGGATTGATTCCTTTTTCTGGATTGATTCCATCGATGCTTTGTGTCTGAAGTCAGAAAGGACCTTGCGTGTGAGGGACTGGACTGCCTTGTAAAGTTCTTTGGATAGTGGACAATGTCCCTGGCCACCCAGAACCCCAGGAGGTCAACACCGAAAGCATCAACGTGTCCAATTCAGCCCACCGATGAGAGGACCTGCGAGGCTCATTGCGCACAGTGTTGTGGAAAGGATTGCCAGTGCTACGGAAGAGAACCCGATAGAGAGGACACCTTGAGAGTCTGGAAGGATCGATCGCGCGCCATTGAAGATGCCATCGTCGTCGTAGGAAAGGCCACGAACGCCATCAAGTCTGAACCTGTCAGTTCCTGCTGGGAGTAAACTGTGTCCAGATGTCGTGCATAACTTCTCAGGACTTCCAGGAGCCAATCAAAAATATCATGAAATAGATTGTGGGTATGAAACTAAGGCGGAGGGCAAAGGGTCTCGAGACGTGGGTCTTGGAGAAATTCAAGAGCAAGTAGGCGCCACACCAGGGGAATTCACAGACGAGGACCTGATGGAGAGGAGTGCTTCCAAGCCAGAGCCCGACGACGACCGAGCAGACGGAGAAGCAGTGGAGCCAGAGGTCGCCGCGACCTGGCCAGCCTGGCGACGGGTTCTGGTTAGTCGAGACTGGTTTTGCCTTGTTGTGTAACGTGGGCACTGAAGGGAAAGCAGATGGTGGAAGAACTGGTACTGTGTAGAAGGGTTTTTGGAGAAATGGAAAAGCAATATGCCAAACGGAAATGACCATGTGTTTCCAGAGAGTCACGCTGAGTGTGCCTGCCTCCTGCCTCTCCGGCCTCCCCCCCACCTCCTCCCTCCACCCCGACACCACAGCACCAACCCTCCTGTCTGGCCTCCGCCTCCCCAACGGGAAGAAGAGATGATGAAAGACCTTGATGACGATCCACTTCCACTTCGCGGAGGGAGCGCTCACCGTGCTGTTGCAGGAGCGTCTGCACAGAAAGCCCAAGAGCTGTGTGGGACGTTGTGCGTTGCCATCGTTACCTAAGTGGTCACCGTGCGGAACATCGTGGGCAAGACTTCTAGGAGAGCAGATGGACTCCTTACGTAGGCATAAGGTGAGTGGCATTTGGTGTAAACCAGTAGTGTGTTTACTGTTTTGTAACTGCTTTCAGGGAGTTACATTACTAGACAGTAGGCTTTTGTCTCTGGTAATTGGGGAAACTGAGTATCAGTCTAGCATCACAGGCGTTTCTTCTAATGTAACAATGTTTCTGATCCTGTATTATGAACATGTCCAATACTCTAAACGCCATAAAATTTTATGACGATTCCTTCGTTAGTGCCTGGGCTCGGCTACTTGAAGCAATTGCGCCTGTTCCGCGAGGCCACCACACAGCGATCCTATCGCTGCTGCCTCACGATCAGTCATTAAGCTTAAATAAATACGAATTTTTTTCCACGCTACCGTTTTTGATGTCTGGTGTTAGTTGTGCACCTACAGTCTTTTGCACATCAGACAGTATTGATCCATAGACCGATGGCCTACCTTGTAAACAAATGGCATAAACTTGTGGCCGCAGGAAGTACAGTGCAGTGCCGCTCGTGCAGCCTCTTCTGTATGAGCTGCTCAGAGCGGGTTTTTCCAGCTCGCCGCGCTGTGAGGATGCAGTGGACAGTACACGTGACGTACAGGCTGTGTGCTAACGAAAGGGCCACGTTCTCGGCCAGCCGTGCAGGCAACAGCAGGCTTTCAGTAGCCAAGTTTTGGGGGAGTCAAAAGTAACACACCGATTTCTGACGGCCCCTCACCCTCATGCTGTTCAAGAGTCAACTGTATTTTCACCTTAAACTTCAAAAAAGAGCAAGTGAAACGTACAGTTAAGAAAAGGCAAGGAGGCGATAAAGATAAGAGCAAAATTAATAAAATTGTAAGTGGATGATTATATAAAGAGAAAAATGATTAGAACTGAAAACTGATCGGCTGATTAAGCAAAGAAGAAAGCAAAGACACAAATACCAGTCTCTAGAAACGTGAGAAGGGACGTCACGAGACTCTGCAGAGATTACAGTAATAATGAGAATTTATAAAAATGAATGTGCATATATATCCCCATATCTGTGCTTGTACATTTGACAACTTAAATCCGATGGGTAGTTCTCTTAAAGGGCACGAAGTACCAAAATTCAGTCAAGAAGTAGATGATCTGAATAACCCTTTTTAATGAAATACACTGAATTTGTAGTTAAAATCCTTCCCAGAAAAAAACTCTGAGCCCGTATAGCTTCAGAGTAAAGAAACATACTACAGATTCTACAATCGTCTAGGGAATGTAAAAGAATGGAATACTTTCCAACTTACTCTAAACGGACAGCATTACTCTTAAAGGGAAAAAACAGAAAAAACAATTTTAAATCTATGCAACAATATCCCTTCTGAGCATAAATGCAAAAAATTATTATAAAAATTGTGAAGGAAACTGGACCATATATAGAAATATCTCATGGCCATGTGGGGCTACCCAAGGCCTGCAAGGTTGGTTTAACGGGGTTTTTTTTGGTTGTTTTTTTTTTTTTCAGTTACAGTTGATGTACGATATTATATTAGTTTCAGGTGTACAACATTATGATCAGACATTGTATACCTTACAAAGTGATCACCCCCTTAAGTCTCGTATCCATCTGACACCGTAACAGCTATTACAGTGGTACTGACTATACCCCTCAGCTGCACGTAAATCCCTGGGATGATTTTGATAACTGGCAGTTTGTTCTTAATCCCTTTCATGTTTCTCATCCATCCCCTTAACCCTTCTACCGTCTGGCAACATCAGTTTGTTCTCTGTATCTACAAGTTTGTTTCTGTTTTGTTTTTTCATTTATTTTGTCTTTTTAGATTCCCCATATATGTGAGATCATATGGTATTTCTATTTGTCTGACTTAACTTCATTTAGCATGTTACCCTCCAGGTCCATCCATGTTGTCACCAGTGGCAAGACTGTGTTCTTTTCATGGCCGATTAGTATTCCGTTGTGTATACGTACCACGGCTTTTTCCTTTTGTCTGTTGATGGGCACTTAGTTTGTGTCCATGTCTTGGTTGTTGTAAATAATGCTGCAGTGAACATAGGGGTGCATACCTGTGTTTGAATTACTGTTTGGAGAGTTTTTTGTAGAAATACTGGGAAGTGGAACTGCTGGGTCATATTGTAGCTCTATTTTTAACTTTTTGAGGAACCTCCATACTGTTTTCCAAGGTAGCTGCACCAGTTTACAAGCCCACCAGCAGTGCATGAGGACTCCCTTTTCTCCACACCCTCACTAGCACTCGTTTGTTTTTTTATTGACGATCGCCATTCTGACAGGTGTGAGGTGATATCTCACCATGGTTTCAATTTGCATTTTCCTCATTATTAGTGATACTATGTGTTCATGTGTCTCACTCATGTGTATGTGTTCGTTGGAGACATGCCTTTTCAGGTCCTCTGCCCATTTTAAAATCAGATTTTTTTTGAGTGGTATGAGTTCTTTAGATATCTTGGATATTAACCTCTTATTAGATACATCATTTGAAAATATTTGTTAGGTTGCCTTTTAGTTTTGTTGACGGTTTCCTTCATGGTGCAGAAGCTTTTTAATTGGATGTGGTCCCATTTGTTTATTTTTGCTTTTGTCGTCTTTGCGCTGGGAGACATTGCTAAAAAACGTTGCTATGACTGATATCAGAGAGTCAACGATGTTTTCTCCTCGAATTTTAATGATGTAAGTTCTCACACCTAAGTCTTTAATCCGCTTTGAGTTTATTTTTGTATGTTGTTTAAGACAGGGGTCTAGTTTCTTTTTTGCTTTTATCTGTTCAGTTTTCCCAGCACCATTTGTTGAAGACATGGTCTCTATGGAGTGTATATTTTTGCCCCCTTTGCAATCGTTTAATGGGTCATATAATCATGTGTTTATTTCTGGGCGCTCCATTCTGTTACATTGATCTACGTCTGTTTTTCTGCCAGTACCATACTGTTTTGATTACTAAAGCTTTGTAGTATAGTTTGTAATTGAGGAGCGGGATACTTCCACCTTTGTTTTTCCTTTTCAATGTTTGGCTATTTGAGGTCTTTTGTGGTTCCATATAAATGTTAGTACTATTTTTTCTAGTTCTGTGAAAAATGCCATTAGTATTTTGATCGGAATTGCATTGAGTAGGTTGCTTTGAGTAGTATAGACATTTTAACAATATTCATTCTTCCCATACATGGTCACAGTCTATACTTCCATTTATTTGTTTGTTTGTTTTTTCAATTTATTTCATCAGTGTCTTACATTTTTTCAAGTACAGGCTTTATGTCTCCTTAGTTAAATTTATTTCTAGGTATCATTTTTTATATGTGATTGTTTTCTTAATTTCTCTTTTTGATAGTTTGTTAATAGTGTATAGAAATGCAACAGATTTTTAAATTATTAATCTTGTATCCTACAAATTTACTGAGTTTTGTATCCTGAAAATTTACTGAAGTCATTTGTGAGTTTTTTGGTGGACTCCTTAGGGTTTTCTATATATAGTATCATGTCATCTGCACATAGTGACAATATTCCTTCTTTTGCAATTTGGGTGCCTTTAATTTGTTTTTCTTGTATGATTGCTGTGGCTGTTTCTCAATACTGTGTTAATAATAGTGGTAAGAGTGCACATTCTTGTCTTGTTCCTGATGTTAGAAAGCTTTCAGCTCTTCTTCACTGAGTATGATGTTAGCTGTGTGTTTGTCATATGTCATCTTTATTTTTTGATGTATATTCCCTCTCTACTCACTTAATTGAGAGTTTTTATCATAAATGGATGTTGATTTTTTTTTTATGTTGAATTTTTTTCAAATGCTTTATGCATCTATATGGTGAACATATGATTTTTGTCTCATTTTATTTACATGGTGTAACATTTTGATTAATTTGTGGATATTGTACCATTCTTGCATCTCTGGAATTGATACCACTTGGTTATGGTGTGTGTATGGCTGCATTCAGTTTGCTAATATCTTCTTGATGATGTTTGTATCTATGTTCATCAAATCTATTGGCCCGTAATTTTCTCTTTTTTTGTAGTGTCTGTCTGGTTTTGGTATCAGTGTCACGCTGGCCTCATAGAATGAGTTTGGAAGCCGTCCCTCGTCTTCATTTTTTTTTTTAGAACAATTTGAGAAGGAAAAGTATTCTTTACATGTTTGGTAGAATTCACCTGTAAAACCATCTAGTTATGGACTTTTGTTTATTGGGAGTTTTCAAATTACTGATTCAATTTCTTTACTAGTAATCAGTCTGTTCATGTTTTCCATTTCTTCCTAACTCAGGCTCAAAATACAGGTTTCTATGTACTT